CATCATGCTTGGGAGGGTGGAGGGACGGCACAGGAGGGGAAGGTCCTCTAGGGGGTGGATTGATTCAGTGACTGGGGTAACCGGAATGGGTGTATCAGAGATAGTGAGATTGGCGCAGGGCAGAGCAGAGTTTAGGGCTATTGTACATAGGGTCGCTACTAGTCGCAAGTGACTCAACGGCACATAACAACAACTGTGCCTCTTGGAGTTTTGTCTACTCTTGGAACCCACTCATGTATGTGCGCACACACACAGCCACACCTGTAGTTTATACAGACATGGGCTTAATTTCTGTCTCTGATCAGGAGATGGCTTACTGACAGGCAGCCCCTGATCAGTCCACTCCACAAAGGTGATATCAGAGGGTGAAGACTTATTTCAAGACTTTGTTCTTTAAAGGCAGTGAACACAGAGGAAAGGACCTTTCTGGAAACTCCCTGAACTGTGCTGATCAGTATACATAGGTGTGTTGATCAGTCCAAATTAGTCTATAATTAATTCTGTTCCCGTCAGTTCCACTTTTGTTCTGACACTAGCTACACATATAGCACTTTGCTGACTGATAATTTAGGGCTAGGTCAAACCTTGCAAATTAGAGGACATAGTCCTCCAGTCTGATAAGTCAACCCACGACCTTAAACACCAGTCATAAGCTTGGCTGTCCTCAAAACACTCATTTTTAGACCTGTTGGCTGTAAATTCAAGATTTCCTTGCTACTCCTTCCACATGTCATCTGTGAACTCTGGGACCCTTAGGGCTCCCCTTATTTCTGTTACCTTGGCTAACTGCCACTATTCTTGGATTATTTAGCATAACTCACAAAAATAGCGAATGCTATATTCACATCACAGTTGTATTATGACAAAAATACTAGAAATGCACAGAGGTCTGGGAGATTTCCTACTATAGAGCTGCCATGTCCCGAAAAAGGACATACAATCTTCCTCCCACATGTAATGTCTTTCACTAGCCAGGAAGCTTATGGAACGTCCTGTCCAGAGCCTCATTACATAGGCATTGTGATGGTTAAGATTATGTGTAATTGATTAGGCCAGGATTTTCAGTAGTTTGCGTGTCACTGTGTATTTATGCTCTACTTTATACTCTGATATGAGCAACCAACCCACTTGAAAGGGATGTTTTAATCTGTAACCATGGTGTATGAATGTTCTGGCAAAGCACAATATCTGTACACTTAAATGATTTTATTACTTTAGAGAATCTGGCCTAGGACAAGCATGATTGAATCATACCCCAAGATGGCATGGATTGGTTGATTGGAGCATTCATATGAAGTGGGTCTTTTTGATCTACCTAATCCTAACAAACTGTGGCTGACTCTAAGAAGAATGGGAATCCCAGAACATTTAATTGTGCTAATGCGAAACTTATACTTGGACCAAGAGGTAGGCATCAGAACAGAGCAGGGCAGCACTGCATGGTTCAAAATTGGGAAGGGTGTACGCCAGGGATGTGTCCTATCTCCATACCTTTTCAACCTGTATGCAGAGCAGATTATCCGA